ACAAATATTTGCATATGTACAATATTTAAAATCTCCTATTTGCTTTGCATTTGAAGAAAAGTCATCAATATGGCTCATCAGCCCATTAATTTTGGCTGATCTTCACTGTCAAACAGGACCCCAGCACTGACCGCAGCAATTTGTCCGAGAGTCTCAGGTCCAAGATAAGCCACAAGTCATTTATAAATGTCATGAGCATTTCTGATTTGTTTTTATATTAATGGTCGGTCATTTAACAAGGATCGAGATTCTTAGCACGGATAGAAGCAGCGTAATTGAAATAAGAGGATGAATTTGATATGCAGGGAGTGTCTGGATATTTAAGGAAGCACGATCTGGTTTTGCTCAGACTGACAAATGTAGATTCCTCAAAGCAAACTTTCCTAGTCTAGATTAAAGCATTTATGGAGATCGTATTGTTAGCAGTATGCACATCTGTTGTAATTTTAAATCTGAGATCTACCATGGCATTCCTGAGATTGATGTACTAAATATTGCCCTACCCAAGCAGCATGGCACTGTGAATGTTATATTTGAGGGAACTAAACATCAGTCTATAACGTGGAAGCGTGACAAATACATATTAATTTTTTTCTCGCCAAACAGAAATAGAAGCTTGGCAACTTGGATAATATATATGATATGATAAGACGATAAATAGAACACATTAAATATCTGCAAAAAATAAAGCAGGAACACAAAATTCATTTTATTGTTAAATGCAAAAACTTTGTTCTATATGATCTCTCTAATACTTTAAGTATTATCTATATTTAATCTAATATAATCATTAAAATTTATACAAGAAGAATTATGATAGATGCTAGAAGAAAGGTAAACGTATATTCACAAACTACCATTACGATTAATAAAGAGTTTTCTACCAAATTATACAATCATAAATAATATTAGAATTATAATAATAATAGCACTTATATATGGAGATATTTTTGCAGCTGCTTAGATTCTTCGACATTTCTCATATCAAGTAATTCCCGTACAACACAAAAATAACCCATTTGCTTGGTTAAAAAAACGCGAATATAATCATTAAAATTTATACAAGAAGAATTATGATAGATGCTAGAAGAAAAGTAAACGCATATTCACAAACTGCCATTACGATCAATAAAGAGTTTTCTACAAAATTATAAAATCATAAATAATATTAGAATTATAATAATAATAACAYTTATATATGGAGATATTTTTGCAGCTGCTAAGATTCTTCGACATTTCTCATATCAAGTAATTCCCGTACAACACAAAAGTAACCCATTTACTTGGTTGAAAGAACGCGAAGTCTATTGCAGCTCACTTATAAAAGAAATTACAATTTTCCCATAGGCTGTTAAACTTTATTAGACCCTATCGAGAACACTTCCGCTGCTTGATGTGAATAATATCGTGACAAGCCCTTAAAAACGAACGCGAAAAATATCCTTAGCCATAGCGCACCTGCCCCAGAGTATCTCAGTTCCGAATTGCGCTTTGCGGTCACAGTTCGTGAGCTAAACAATTTTATGGCAATTTCCTTACCAGAATGCCAGAATGCTATATATACACATGCATATATGCATATGTATATTTTGTATGAGCAGGCATAGAACAAAATATATCTTACGGCAATTTGGAACGTTACTTCGACTGTCACGCTAGGTGGGCAGGAAAAACTCGATCGGCCGCCCGCTAGGAACACGTGGCATATCGTATGCTAAGTTATTTTTTATTTTCATTATACTATCTTGAGCTCTGGGCTCGGGGGGTGTCTGTTGATTTTGTGTTCCGGTCGGCGCGATAAGGCGTGCTGCATTCGAAATGAGTGTAACGTATATTTTATGCAGTGTCCATTGAGTTTTTACCAAGTGAGATAATACTAGTATATTATGCTTGCAATGGCGACCTTCAACTTGGGCTTCTTATCGAGTCAGAAAATAGAAAAGACACAGTCTTATCAGTCGAAAAGCGACCATGAGAGAGAGTAGAGCTATAGATTAAAGAGACCCAATCAAATATTGCCCTGATAAATTGAGCTATGAAACTTTTATATTATTTGTTTATCACTCAAGTATAGATCTGGGAGACAGAAATGTTTGATCAACTCAAAGAATTATCAAATATTGACAGAGTTTTTGATTCGTGCTGTATGAATGATCTTTACATAAGTCTGTGAATATACAATCTATCGTCGATCAAAGTTTTATAATATCGTCGAAACTTCTTATCAGATCATAAGATATAAATGCAGACGCTTTACTCTATTTATTTCTCCATTATATATTTATATTTAATGAATTTTATAGAGGTTAAATAAATACAAATAAAAAGAAGAGCTAGTGATAAGAATATTGTCAACATGTTCTAAACTATAGAGATATTCAGCATTTCTTTGCATACTTTGGAAAAACCTTAGGTAAATATTATGTAATGAAGAAGTATTCATCTCAATTTTATATATTCCTTTAAAGTTCAACTAAAATTTGTCTATCAGCCAAGAAATGTTTTTGTTTATTGCGACAACCAGCATTAAAGGCTCACTTTTCTAAGAAAACAAATACGCATCTAAATACCCGCACGTTCCAAAGTTGGGCAATCCTTTGATGAGCTGCCCTTATAAAGGATTATGAGCACCACTTGAAGGACACCCCGAATTGTGTTGAGCTGAGTTACCTCTTTCATTATTCCTGCACAATTCGACGCCTCTCTTTTCCGTGTGTTTACACAGCAAAATACAGCCCATATATATTTTCAGTACATCCTGTTAAGATATCGTCAACTCGAGGAAATTACTTAAAAGGATCACGAACTCTCGCCAGCCATCCATGGGCCTCCCCCCTTCAAGATCGTGACTTGTTTATGTTTCAGGCATGACTGCAACTCAACGCCGGCAGAATTTTTCCAAATTTGTTAAAAAGTGTGTAAATTTACGTTCCTATATTCTTCCATTTTTTTTTTTTTGTTTTTTCATCGGTTTTAGGAGGGTGTGTCCCATAAACATAGAGCTCTGCGGTATGTCTGGCTAGAGGGGCGAGTCAAAATCGAGACTTGGCTGCCTAATCGATCTATAGATCGGTTTCCTTTGCAGCCTTTTCTGGGGTGATTGCACTCGAGACTCAGTTTTTCCTTTTCCACTTTTGGACAAAAAAATAAAAATAACAAGAGTTTTTCTTCTCTTCTCTCGGCACAAAGCAAATGATGTCTTTAGCTATGAACCGGGTTGACTTTTCTATTCTTTTTCTCGCTTTTTTGTGCACTTTAATTGCATTTGTGCAAACAATATAAATCGTATTTTATTGCCCTGGCAATGTAATTTAATTTTTTACGATTTTGCACTCAAATGGCGAAAAGCTTGGGAAATCTTTGTAATCATTTTTTGTTCGAATCATATTAAAATATGCTCCCTATGTAACGGCTGCAAGTTTCATTATCTTTACACTCTGTTTCGCGTGCTCTAATGCACTTTTCCACAGTCTGCCCCACTTTTGAGAATCAAGGCCCCCGAGTTACAATTGGAAAGTGAAACTGTTGTAAAACGGTTGGAAACTGTCTGCGCGGCCGCCCTATATCCAATTTGTCCGACTCTGACATGGCAACAAACACAGGCACACACACATACAAACCCAAACACACGCACACAAATAAACCAAATCCAGTTTCAGGTTAAACAAACCGAAGCCAAAACATTTTTATCTACTCATCGTATTCAAGCCAAAAGTACAGCTCCAACTCGGGCTGCAACAACGATGCGCAGGGATTTTTCCCTAAGCCGAATAAAGAATGTTCTTATTGATATACATATGTACATACTTAGTATAAACATTTTAATAATTTTTCAGCTAAGCACATTTTATAAAAATATTAAATAAATTCTTTAATATATAGCATGTGTTACCATCATTAAATAATTCTGCTTCAACAATGCTTTCATTGCTTCTATTTATCGAATATTACAAAGCTCATATTAAATTGGGTATGCCGCAGTTTTCTTAGAGCAAGAGGAAAACACAACAGCGTGAGCGCTCACTCTGAGCTGCTGCTTTGATCATTTTGAATTCGAGGGTTGCTATGCCGCTTTTAGTAGTACGTCGTATGGCAACGCTGCGGTGGTTGTTTGACGTTTCGTTTTGTGGTTGTTCTCTTGCGCTCACAACCTCTCGTGCGCTCTCTGACTTTGTGAGACTGAGTCTTTTAACAGTGTAGCACTCAAGCTAGCAAGAGCGTAAGTGTCCGCTCTCTGAGCGCAAAGATAAGCGTGTATAAATATCATTTTTAACCGTTTGCTTACGTTCAGTTTTGTTATTCTGCTCGTTGCGCTAGGTCGAAGAGTGCGTTCGCAGTGCGCACTATAAGGCAAACCAATGAAATATTCATAAAAAGAAGCAAAATCATTCGAACGCTATTATAAAATATATTTAATATATTACAACTTACGTTGTAAAGCAAAAGAAAAACACTAAATATAAAGTGCAAGCAAGTTGAACGCGTATTTCGCAACAGTCGCAACTCAAACTCAACTCGACTCGTCAGTTTCTTCTGTGCCTTGAGTGAGTGGTGTATTTGTACGTGACCAATAAGACAGCAATAATCGACATTTGCCAGTGCAACAAAAAACATTTGTTTATATCATATTTCTATACAAATACTTAAAAGTAAAAAAGCAACAAATACGAATTTCACTTTTAAAACGAGTGTCTATAAAGAAAGACGCAAAAAGAACAGCAAGAACGAACGCACACAATCAAACATTTACGCTCAGGCACACCAAACGACGACGAGTTGTGGAGACTCGTGTCGCGTGTAAGTGTGAGTGCGTGTGAGATTGCATGGGAGTGTGTGAGTGAGCTCTCCCCTCTTTTTGCGTTGGGCAGCGAAAACGTACAGGCGAGCACAAAAAACAATTTTAGTTCCCGCCAAAAGTTTGACGGTTTGCTTAGTCGCCAATTCGCAAACAAGTAGAGAACAGTAGACACAGAAAGACTCCCAAAACACACGAGAAGAAAAAACAAAAGAACGAATAAAAATAAGAAATACATCAAATAAAACACGCATAGAAAGTGCAACAATAACAACAGCATGGTCAGCGCACGAATGCTTCATCCAGTGGTGCTCAGCGAGCTCTGCAAGATGAGCTACAGTCCAGCCAGTCGATTGCAGTCGCCCTGTGTCCGCCAGTTGGACGTCAATCGCATTAAGCGCAATCTGTTTGGTTCAGTGCCGCTAACAGAAAACAACCCGTACGTAAAATATTAGTGTATAAAATGTAGTGTCATATATTCTATATCAATATTAATAAAATCATTTCAATTTTTAGTAGCTTCTTTAGCGCTGAGCTGGAGCTTCAGCAGGAACGAGCCTCGCAGAAGTGGGGCTTTGATTTTAGGGCAGATCGCCCGCTGGCCAGCAATGCCAGCTACAACTGGCAGCGCGTTAGTTCGCAGGAGTCGACTTTTGCCCCACAGATGTACACCCTCACCCGCGCCGCTCATGTGCGTCCGGCGGCTGGACCGGCAAGCGATATGGATGTGTTGCTGAACGATCGGGCAGATCGTGAGAACTCGGCGAATTCCTCGCTGGACGCGAGCACGGACACCGAGTACGACTCGCAGGATGAGTCGCTGAGCTTCAAATGCAGCAGCAGCAGCAGCATCAGTGTGGTCGCCTCCACCTCTGCAGCCGCATTGATCGCCTCCGCCTCCTCCTCCGCCACCGCCACAACCTGCAGTTCGCCCGCGCAGCAACGCAAGCGACAGCTTAAAATCACAGGTGAGTTCCGTTTCCTGCTGCGCCCTGTTTATGCTACTACCCTAGCGATCTTCCCTTACCTTCCCAACGTTCTGCTTGATTGCACTTGAACTTCGTTTTTTTTTGTCCGTTACAAATTCATTTCCCATAACGCTCAATGTTCGCTTATTGAACGCTTTAGTGGGTGAGTTCGTTAAATGGGAACTAAACCCAAACAAGGTGCGTACAGTGCTCACACTATAATAACTACAGCTGATACTTATAATTAAATTTAATTTTTTAATTATTTGAAAAATAGTTTTCTCTAATTTAGAACTCTTAAAAAAAACAAAAGAAGAAAAAAAGCGAGAGTTCTCTTCAACTTGATCAACTAGGAATGTTTTCGTGCAAGGGATTAACGCAATAGAATCATATAAAACTCACAAATAAGTTGAATATCTAAATACTTAGGCATGCGATCTATTGTGTACACCGGAAAGTAAAGACTTCTCAGACATAGCATATACACATATGTGTATCCTTAATGCATTCCGAGGTTACTTCATTAATCGTTTTCTGCCATGGGCGCAGCCTTTTTCATTGATTATCGCGTGGGCGTTGTTCCACCATCCCCAAAATTGAATGCCATAATAACGGGCTCTACCCAATGCGGCTTTAAGGCATATAATTAGTTTTGTTTTATGTGATTTGGTGAAGGGGTTACGATATAGCAGCGCGATCAGCTGCAGCTGTTTTCGAGCTCTGATTCCCCCCAACCGTATACCCTCCCCATCCCCGCTGGCTATCCCTCTGGCTTAGAGTCAATGCACGCAACATCCCTGCGATTGCCCCTGCAACTGGGACTGCGACTGCGTCGCGGGGGTTGATTTTCAAATAAGATCATTGCATGCGGGTTGCTGTAAATGTTAACAGATGTGCGCGGCTCTGCTTCGATTTGACCTCATTAGAGGCAGCCAAAAGCAGAGGCAGAGGCAGACAGAGAGAGAGAGAGAGAGAGAGAGAGAGAATGATAGAGAAAGAGGGAGCGAGGAGGGGGAGCAGCACACAATGCGCCGCCATCAAAGCGCTGCGCTTATCAACAGCCGCTGATTGCTTTTGTATTATAATTTCTGTCTCTCTATTTTTTTAGTGCCACTTGGCACAGTTATTAACATAAAAAAAAAAAACGAAACGAAACGAAAAAGAAATAAGTGTCTGTGCTGGACAGCCCGCATGTATCTAGCCCTGTTGTGGGCATGGCTGTACTTTTGTGCAGCGAAGCCTAGAATCTTGCCCAGTTGGCAGTTGGGCGTGTAATTTATGCAGCTATGCAGCAAGATCGATGCAGCGCGGACTACCTGAGTGCGCCTCTCGTTTTCCTTCTGCGCTCATTCATTTCATTCATTCGGCTACCCCTGCTGTGGCAGCCAACCCCTGGCCAGCCACGTGCCACGTGCCACAATTCCGAAAAATCAAAATGTGCAAAAACAGGCGGCGCCTGCTGTTATTATTAAGCATCAGACAACAAATGTCGTGACTCATTCATTCACTCGCTAAGGGTAGCAATGCCAGCTGACTCTGATATCCCTGTCTCTATTTGTGTTTTATTTGATTACTAAATGTCTGCCCTTTGTTTCTYTCTTTCAGAGTTCATGAAGGAGCGCAAGCGACTGGCCCAGGCACCCAAAAAACTCTCACCCGCCAAACGTTTGCGCACCAGCTCCGGCAGCAGTAGCAGCAACGCGAACGCCACCTCCGTCGGAAGCCTGCTGAAGCGCACGCGCCACAACTAAAACACACTAAAACATGAACACAAACATCAAACACAACCTACACGACCTGCAATTTGTAATTTTATTTTTAATTTTTTACAACACTGCAAAGGGCAACATAGGTATTTTTTACAAACACGATACACGAAACGAAACACACCAATACATTTCTATAGCGTAAATTTTAAGTAGTTTTCACATTGCATTTTTTTACATATACAAAATTAACTACTCATTTTTGTGCAGTGCAAGGGCGAAAGTTGCGAATATTAACTTATAGTTTAACTAGTTTATATGCCAGTTACTACAACCAGTACTAGTACTAGAACAAAATAGATACTTAGCTTTAGCCAAGTAGCTGAATCGAGCTATATGAAACTTATTAGATTTCTCTAGTGAGAAATGCCATAAACTAAGTGATTAGTTCTTAACAACTACAACAACAACAAAATCAACAYTAAGAACAATAAGAAATCGAAATAACGTAAATCTAAACTGTAAAGGAAATCAGAAAACTTTGAGACATCTTTAATGAAAGCCACATTTGAATACCATCCTTAACCATGAATTATCTAATCTACTAACTTAACTAAATTGTAAATCCAATTTGTTAAATTTTACCAGCAACCTTAAGAGTTCCTTGTAAAATTTGCAATTCAAAACTTGACGTAGTTCTGCCTTCCTTGAAAATTCTTTGTACTCATTTATTTGTTTATAAATCAAAATTTGATTGAATGCAGAGTTATGTTGATTTTTGTTCTTTTTACCAAAGCAATCACTAAAACTCACAATTATAATTATGGTTTAATTATTAATTATAATTGTTTTTGTTTTTGTGGCTGTGACTGTGAACAAACTCCTTAAATTCGACCAGTGTAATAATATTTATGAATTAAGTTATTTCCTTTGCTAATTTGTGAGCTTTTGCAGATTCCTAATTTGGTATTTGCAAAACTTCATGAATTGGCCATTACACAATTGTAAACTTTATATAAAATTAATTTCTATCCGTTGCCAAATTGTTTGGCAAATGATGAAAGAGATTTTGCTTAACTCTAATGTACAAATGCTATGAATACTATATATATATTCATATATATGTATATGTTGATTTGAGATTTTTCGCCAAGCAGTAGGCATCAGATTTGTAGTCCTTTAATAAATGCAACAGCTAATTGTTC